AGTCGAAATACTAACGATCAGGTTGCACGGTTAGTTGCATGAAGTGATGCGATTAACGCTTAATGAACTTAGCCATCCATGCCACGTTACAGATTGACACCCGAAATGTAAGTCAAGATACACTAAGGGCCACATAATTATCCATGGGTTGTCCTGTTTGTATTTGCTGCGGCAAAACATATGCAAGACTTGAGCTTTAGTTGAAACTTCAGAGGTCTGACTAGCCTGTGAAAAATTAAATTCGGAAGGTGCGGTTAGTAATTGGAACCAACACTTTTTACTCTAATAGCCTAGAGTATTGTAAAGGCAGTCAATAACTGTACTTAAGGAAGTGCCCTCGCTCTTTTTCTAAAATTATTTTAAATGACAATGCCGAGCTATGTTTTGTAGCTTATTTGTTTCTTTAACAAAAGGAGGAGAAAAAGCAACTGTGGGAGAGTAAGATAGCTTGCCCTCAAAAACAAAGAATAAAAAGCCACTTAGGCGAAGGTCTAGGTAATACTTGGCATGTATAAAATGTTTGTTAATCCCTTCGGAACCTTGGCCTCAAGTCTTGCAGCCGCAGAGCGACAGGCCATTAGCTATCTATTTGCTGAATGATTTGTCACATACGCTGCATACCGTGCTTGCTTGTAAACATAATCACTAAAATGTACGTATACAATGCTTTTCCGATAACCATGGGGAACGATGTTACTGGAAGATTATTGTTGACGATTGGAACATTGGAACATTGGAATGTAGAGAGCAGAAGGAAAAATCCTTTGTCAGCTCCATCGCCTCCCGTTCGTCACAGGGATCAAGGTGGACATTGCAAATCGGTTCAACTGGAACCGCTGCGTTGACACCAGAAGCAACAAGCTCCGAGTTTACTCAACAGGTAAGAATCCAATTGATATTTGCAACATTCCTCCGACTGCGCATCAACGACATACACAGGTAGCTTATTCCATTCGTACACTACTCTGGTAGACAGAGTGACATTACAACGGACCTGAAGTCTCCTTTGTTTAAACAATTTCCATTGGTGACCCCGAGTCGAACTGAAAGAATTGAGTGAAAAGAAATTCTGCAATTCAACTCCAAGTTCTCCTCCAACGATACGCCGTGTGAAAATCAAATCCCCGCGATCTCGACGGTAGGCTAGAGATAACAAGTTCAGGCACTAGAGACGATGCGAGTAAGGCAGGTTTCGAAATTCCAGAACAGATTTAGATCCTCTCCGCTGAACATTTTCAATCAAGTTGCATTCAAATTTGGAAAGAGGATAAACAGCCGGCAGTCCATACTCAAGAATCGGACGTACATGAGAAGTGAACAGAAGCCTGAAGATCTCCGGAGTCAAGCGAGAGAAGGATCATCGTATGGCGAAAAGCAACCTGTTGACAGAAGCGACTTTCCTCAAGGTATCCTCGGTCGATTTTAGGTCTGGGGTCCCAATGACGCCGAGGTCCCTCTCACGATTAGAGTTCGGCAGCAAAAACCCACCGATATGATAAATTCCGAATGGTACGGAGGCACCGATCGGAAGAACGGAACATTTATCATGATTTATGGGTAATTGACACCTGATCGACCAATCATGCAGCGAATCGAGCCTTGTTTGTAGTAAATCCTCTTCATCTGGACAGGAGACTTCCATCCATATCTTTAAATCGTCTGCGTAAATCAAACAATCTGCCCGTAGTACAGATGCTAGACCATTAATAAAGACTTTAAAAAGTTCAGGGCCAAGAACGGAGCCTTGCGGAACACCGCTGGTCATATTTACAGGGGAGGAAAAGGCCTCATTTACTTGCACACGGAAAGTGCGGTCATGCAGGAAATCAGTAAGCCAAGAGAGGATTTTCCTGAAACACCAATACTGCGAAGTTTGCTAAGCAAAATTTCGTGTGGAACCTTGTCAAAAGCTTTACTAAAATCCACAAATACGATAGCTAGACGCTTACCAGCATCCATGGATTTAGCCCACTTTTCTCGAGCTACCAAAAGATTGGTGACACATGAACGCGAAGGAAAAAACCCGTGCTGCGCGGCTGAAATGATCTTGAGGTTCTGGAAGTGCAGGTTGAGAGCTCGCTTAAGAATCCTCTCCATAACCTTACAGACGACAGATGTTAGACAAATGGGCCGATAATTCGCAGGATCTTGCCGATTACCTCCTTTGTATATGGGCTTGACTATGCCCGCTTTCCAGGCAAGCGGAAGACGCCCGGCCTCAAGTGAGCACCGAAATACTTGGCAGATAGGAACAGCGATATGTTCGGCCACAATCTTGAGGAAAAGAGGATGCAGTCCATCAGGTCCAGGGGAAGAGTTGAGATCCAACCCGCACAAAAGTTTGTATACCACAGTAACCTGTATGTCCATATCGCTGAGAGCGAAGAGCAAGGATTAATAACAATCAACTGACGGCTCCCCGTTGTATAGCCCGATGAATAATGGCGAGCTAAAAGATTAGCTTTATCAGCATCTTCGTAGAGCACGGTATGAAGATCGTGGGAATGCAGAGACGGTATTCCACTTCCGGCTCTGGTGCTCCTTTTCAAGTAGGAGAAAAGCGGCTTCGGTATAGACTTGGAATGTTCAGCCAGATGACCTTTGTATTGCTGCCGTTTCGTACGTTTTTTGAGGTACATACGTTCCGGACCAATTTATAATTGCTATAATCGGTTTCCAATCTTGAAAGCCTATAGCGATTCCAAAGTTTGTGTCTTTGGTTCATGAGCGATCTTAGCTCTCGGTCAATGCAGGGGGTCCTCTAATAAATGGTTTTCGTTTGGATTTGGGGACAACATCATCAATAAGGGACAACATTTTCGAGTAAACAAGGCTCCAAGCATTATCGACGTCCAAGTGCTGAGGAAGACTGCAATCCTGCTCGCCAGCGGCCTTCTTCAAGCGGTTGGGATAAGCACGCCAGAAATTCCGCCGATAGACACAGTGGTTGTGAATGCTCAACCGTGTGGTCGATTGAAAGGAAAGTAGGCAGTGGTCACTCCTCCCGATGGGTAGTAAGACATTCAAATCAGAAACATCCGATGGTGCAGGCGAAAGCACAAGGTTGAGTACTTGCGGCGTCTGATCAGGGATAATGCGAGTAGGTGCCGCGACACGTTGAATTAAATTGCTTTCAAGAACAGCTTCCAGAAACGTAGAATCGAAGGAGGCAGGTGCAGCATCACAGTGAAGAAGATCCCAATCAACTTTAGGGGCATTAAAGTCCCCCACTAATAAACAATCCTTATTTCCACCATGCTTCGTTAGAGAGGCCAGTAAACGATCGCCAGAACTCAGGGGACCTCTGTAGAAGACATCGAGAAGGAGAGATCTACATCCATCGTGAATACGACACCAAAGCACTACGGAGCAGTCATCACTTCCCAAGACGACATCAACTATATGGACCTTCAGATTTTCCTTCCAGTAGAGTATGACGCCGCCCCCGATCTCAAACCAATGCGACCAGCTCGGGAGAGACGGTAACCAGGAATATGTACTTCGGGATCTGGGATTTCTGGGGACAACCCTGTCTCCGTAAGCGCCATAAGGCCCGGGAGAAGTACTGCCGCAAGATGCACAACTTCATCTAGTTAATTACGCAGACTGCGCACGTTCGCAAAAAGTACGTGCAATCCAGTTGTTGATTTTAATGTCCGGGAAGGGCAAGAACTGGCTTCCAGCACGTTCTCTGCACTTTCCGAACCACGCGAAAATCCTCAATACGCAAATCGGTTTCACCGTTCGCACGGCGAGTTCTCAATTCATCGACTGCGATCTTCATTTTAACGCGGTCTTCCGGGGATAGATCCCGTAAGACGTGAAAGGGCTCCCCCTTGATGCGCGAAGTTCGTCGAAGGATCCGACGGCATTCATCTTTACTTTGGCATACAACCTTAAGGGGACGCACCTTGGAAGAATCTTCGTGTTTTCTGCCAAGTCGAAAAGCAGAGACGATATTAATCACCAGTTCCCCCTCATGGAATAGTAGGGAGATCATACGTTTTAGAAACAATTGGCCATCCAAAATTCTCCCTGCTGCTGTTGTCTTATCCGACTCCGGGGAGTTCATTATGATGAGACAACGTTCCCGGTTTGGGACTTTGGCGATCTCGGGGATCCGTGGCTTGGAAGGCGGCTTGTCCTGGAGCAGTTTCTCCAAATGGTCGATCCTATGAAGAACCGATTTCAGCCCGCGCTTTGGAGGTGACGCTTTGTCTTCCACAGACTTGGCTGTAGGCTTATATTTATACACCACGGGAATCCGGCTTGCGGGAGCAGCCACCGTGTTCTCCTTGACGACGGTCGCAAACGTCTTAGGCAGCGGATTACTAGGCTGGTCACTAGAAATGTGTGGCTCTGAGGGCGGGGCAGAAATTTGTTTAAGAACTGGCATGACAAAATCAGGGGAAGATTGTATCGCGCGCCGAAATAAAATAGTTCAAATTCCAATTTAGGACGATTCTACGCACAATTTGGATGCGAACGCCAACCATGCCACGAAAATTACACGGACGCCCAGAGTTTGGCTTTCCTCTTCTACGACCTGGGCCGCACACAGCCACCTTGGTAACGTATCCGCGTGAGCCACTTCTGCGAGAAAGCCGCCGTATGTAATACTCCCTGCGTTCCTATTGGATTACCAGACTGTATTTCCTCACACCTTGCTGCCATTTGCAGCGGTTATAAAAAGAAGCTTGTTGCCATAATTTGTGGGACTTTTCTCTGCATTGAGGACGGCTAACAAGACTGTAATAACCAGCGTCGAGCTTCACTGACAGGGGATTTTGAGTCTTCTGAACGCGTATTACATTTACCACACCAACGAATTCACTTTGGTGTAGTCAAGGTTATAACAGTGAGGTATTTATTCAGGCTGTTCTGCTTTATCAGCTTTTATGTTTGCAATCATAATTCGCCGTGGTGGCCTTGGAAAAGTGCGCGTTGGACGAGTGTAGATAGCTTAATTTTTGTTTCCGCGCAAAGACCATGAAGCTGCGATGTTCGAACAGATGGTGAAGGACATGCACGTACCACCCGAAATATTCTGTGAGCTCACTGATGAGCAAAAATATGTTCTGCATTACGAGATACGACAGGTTTGCTTGAATTCAAATATTTATTAGTACTTGCGAATAATAGGAGCAAATTCGCCGATATAACGAATGGCAGCGATCCACTGATAATGTTGGCAGTAAGTTTACTTATGATCAACTGCATGGTTTACATGCAGAAATGATATTTGTTTTTAACATAATCACGCCTAATTGTTTGGTAAAAGTTATACGTATATAGTTTGTCTGTTGCGCGCTATAAACATACGTGGATAAACGCCCAACAAAAGTAAAAAATATGAAAATAGGTTGTAAAATATTTTTATGATGAGTCGTTAACCTAGCTAAGCCAAAAATAAAATGCAAGATAAGAACTGGCTGGCGGAAAGTGGGGACGGGTGCTATGTGCAAGTGTAGTGAAAAGGCTAAACGGAAAGCGCTTAACTACATAAAAGAACCCCCATTCTGTAAAATAAGAACGCCGGACCTAACTTTCGGTAAAGCACGATTTTCGGTAGGCCGTCAGTTATTCGCACAATCCGGTCGGAAGATAAAACTTAGTCAGCACAATAATTCGACGCATTAGATCCTATGATCGATGAACGAGGCTAGCAGACCGTGTAGGACTAGTTAATACTAGTCCGAGACGATGCGCGGAATTAAGCGCGGATATCAGAAGGCAATTGGAGTCGGACACAGCGGACTGTATTCGATGGGTTACAACAAGAAGCGGACGGATGAAGCGAGGCAAGAGCGTACACGTGAGCGCGGGGACTTACAAGGCAGTTGTGTGTCGAGCCGGTTGTAAGATTAAAACAAGAAGGAGTAATGTACAATTGGTCAACAAGTAAATTGTACACAAAAGATAACAGTTATCTTTTTGGGCGCTACAGAGCTCCCCCCCTAGAAGGCTGAACATAGAAAGCCTTCGAAATCGAAAAGGAATGTTGAAACGAGGTTCGTAAGGCGAAATCGTGCCGAGAAAAAATGGGCGTGCGTTCGTGTAAATGGGGTTTCGTCGGAGTCCGCTGTGCCGTTTATGATTTGTTATTTATTGAATGCAGGGCAGGGTGCATTTCGGCGAGCCGTTGGAGCGGGCTTGTCGGACTACAAAAAACTGGCTAGCCCAGAAAACGGCCGACAGGACCTCAACCTCCGCTGCTGCCAAACGGTGCGCTTGGGAGTGGTCTCTCCCCCCGCCGCACCCCGCCCCGCGCCAAAACGACCCTCGTCCCACGAAGAAAACGACCATGGTCCCACGGAGAAGCGACCCTCGTCTCGCGGAGAAGCGATCCTCGTCCCGCGAAGAAGCGATCCTCGTCCCGCGGAGAAGTGATCTTCGTCCCGCGAAGAAGCGATCCTCGTCCCGCGAAGAAGCGATCCTCGTCCCGCGGAGAAGCGACCAGTGTTCGCGTCAGGGTCCTCGAAAGCATTCCTCGTGTGGGCCAGTCGATCGAAGGGGAGGGTTGGGGCATGTAAAGACGAGAAAATAGAAAAACACGCGCAGAAAACGCCAAAAAGAACAAACGAATGAGCTGCGTGTTTAAATATTTTTTGGTTTTTGAATATTTTTTTCGAAAAGGTTTTTCGGGGGGTTTTGATATTTTTTTTCAAAACGTTAATCGACCAAAAATGAGGCAAATATATACAATATCTACAAAGTTAAAAGTATTTACACTGTACATAGTCGGAGAAGCGAACGGGCTTACGTACCTCCCGACCACGGCGATTGGTCGTGGGAGGCGGCGGACTAGGTTCGGGTGATGTCGGGACTGCTGAAGCTTGCAGACCGTGATCGTGGTCTGGTTGGACTTCACTAGCATGCGGAAAATTGGTACGGTGAGTTGTGACGTCGCACGAGGCACTACTAGACGAAGTAGGCGAGGTAGTTTCTTCCATAAAGGCGGGTTTCAGACGGTCGATGGTGACGACTTCGTGTCGACCACCGCGGTCAATAGTGTACGCCTTACTCGCACGATGCAGCACCTTGAAGGGTCCTATGTACGGCGACTGAAGAGGCTGTCGAACACCGTCTGCGCGAAGAAGGACGTGTGAACACGTAGACAGCTTCTCGGGCACGTACACTGGTGTCTTCTGCGATCGAGGAGCGGGTGGACGTAACTCACGCATCTGGTGAGCCAATCGATCAGTGTAACTTCCGTAGTCAAAAGTGGAAGTACATGGGGCTGGTGCTACCAGCTGTCCGGGCAACCGCAGCGTGCAACCGTAGACTAGCTGCGCTGGTGTGGCGTCGAAGTCAGTCTTAACCGTGTTTCTTAAGCCTAGGAGAACGAGGGGAAGCGTTTCAGACCATGAAGGATCTGCGTGCGCACGTAGCGCTGCCTTCAACTGGCGGTGAAAACGCTCCACCATGCCGTTAGCGGCCGGATGATACGCCGTCGTCTGGACGTGGCGACAGCCTAAATCCTTAAGCAACGTGGCAAAGGTCGACGAGAAATGTGACCCTCGATCGGTGGTCACGATGGCAGGACAGCCGTATTGAGCTACCCAGCGCTCCATAAAAGCTTTCGCTACCGTTTCCGAGGAGCAATTTGGATAGGGACGGCCTCAGGCCATCTAGTAAATCGATCGATGCAGGTCAGTAGATATACAGAGCCTTTGGAAGGCGGCAGAGGACCTACGAGGTCGACGTGCACGTGATGAAAGCGTGCGTCTGGCGTCGAAAACGTGCCTAATGGGCTTCTCGTGTGCTTGTGCACCTTCGCGCGTTGACACGGAAGGCAAGCAGCTGCCCAGGTACGGACGTCCCGATTAACATTGCGCCAAACGAATCGTGCGGTTACGAGTTTAACCGATGCACGAACGCCTGGATGAGACAAGCCGTGCAACGCGTCGAACACGGTCTGCCGAAACTCGCGTGGGACGACTGGGCGCGGCGTGCCCAGAGATAAATCGCAGAGTATCGTTCCATCTGCTGATGTCAGCGGAACGGGTCGTATATCCAATGAGGGAGACCTGCGTAGTAGATCAACCTCAGGATCGTTGAGTTGTGCTGTGGCCATGGCTGCCAAGTCGATAGCAGTGCCGGCGTCAGCGGAGATAGCTTGGATGCGGGAAAGTGCATCGGCGACGGCGTTGTGCACACCTGAGACATGCCGTATATCGGTCGTAAACTGAGCGATATAGTCAAGGTGGCGCGACTCTCTAGGAGAGTATCGGTCGGTAGTCGAGCCGAGCACGTAAGTCAGGGGTTTGTGGTCGGTGAAGACGGCAAAGGAGCGGCCTTCTAGGACGTGTCGAAAGTGACGTATCGCTAGATACACTGCTAGTAGTTCTCTACCGAACGTGCTGTAACGAGATTCGGTAGGTTGTAGGCGTTTGGAGAAAAACGCTAAGGGCTGCCACGTGTCGGATACTCGTTGCTGCAAAACAGCGCCGACTGCGACGTCCGAGGCGTCAGTACTGAGGGACAGTGGGGCGGCCGGATCGTGATGCGCTATAAAAGCTATGTTGGCGATAGCCTCTTTCAGCGACTTAAAAGCAGCGCGTGCTGCGGCAGGGAATTCGAACTTCTTGAGCTTCCCTCGGAGAAGGTCCGTGAGGGGTTGCATCAGCGAGGCGCAGTTGGGTATAAATCGTCGGTAAAAGTTAACAAGGCCATCAAAGCGCCTGAGCTGTTTGAAAAGAATGAGGCTCGGGGTATTCGATGATGGCTTGAATTTTATCCTGCAGTGGCACAACGCCTGCAGAAGAGATACGATGGCCGAGGAAATTGACTGAATCAACACCAAACGAACACCTTTCTGCGTTGCTCGTCACCCCGTGTTGAGATAAACGATCAAAAAGTGTTCGTAGATGGCGCATATGCTCTTCTTGTGAAGAGCTTGCGGTTAAAATGTCATCCAGATACGCGTAAGCGAAGTCTAAACCGCGACAAACTTGGTCGATGAAGCGCTGAAAGTTTAGCGCGGCATTCCTTAGACCAAACGGCATGCGCAGAAACTCGAACAAACCAAATGGAGTCGTCACGGCAGTTTTAGCGATGTCCGCTTCGGCTACCGAAATTTGGTTGTATGCGCGTACCAAGTCGATTTTGCTGAAGATACTTTTACCTGCCAGACTGGCGGTGAGATCCACTATGTGTGGGATCGGATAGCGATCAGGCGTGGTCACCGTATTCAAGGATCGGTAGTCGCCGCAAGGACGCCAGTCACCCATGGCCTGCTTCGGGACCATGTGCAGAGGCGACGCCCATGGGCTGTTGGACGATCTGACGATACCAAGTTGAAGCATGCAGTCAAATTCGGCTCGTGCTGCCCGTAGTTTGTCTGGAGCAAGCCGTCTTGGTCGTGCGCTAACTGGTTGACCGCAAGTAACTATGTGGTGAGCGACCTCTGTCGTGACTGGCGGAAGCTCTGCAGCCGGTCGAACCAGTCGCGGGTGTTCGGAGAAGAGGCTCAAATAGTCGGACGGTGCGTCTGCGATCCGAAATACAAGGCTGATTATCGGGGCATCTGAAAGGACACCATCAACACCTAGTTTCGTACGATCGTCTAAAAGTCTGTGGCGACCAGCATCAACAAGCAACCCAAAATGGCGGAGGAAGTCGATACCGATAATTGCGAAGGGTACAGACGCAACCATGAAGACCCACTGAAAATCTCGGCGAAGATTGAGGTCTAGGTTCATCATGCGCTGACCGAATGAAGCTATCGGAGAACCGTTGGCCGCACGCAAGTTGTACCTAGGCTCCGAGTGCTTGTCGCTAGCGGTCGCTGGGATGACGCTGACTTCCGCTCCCGTGTCGATGAGGAAGGTGATGGAAGAACGTCGATCCTTAACGTAAAACAATCGGTTTGCTTGGTTATTGAATGATAAGTTTGTAGTGCTAGTATGCGGGCTATTCGTTTTCCCTGGGTCGTGCCTAATGCAGGGAGCCCGACAACCTCTAGCTCTTCCACCGTATTGGCGGTGATACCAACATACTTCTTCGACGGGCTTGACCTTATCTGACTGAGAACTTGTAAGGAAAATGTTGCGCTTTCGTGCCGAACGAGGCGTACTCGGTGCAGGCACAGACGAGCCGCAATGTACGGTAGCCAAAACGTGGTCAGCAAATGACCGTGGAACCCGCTGCTTCGAAGCCTTCATTGCTGCTATCCTGCTGCGAAGTAGCGCA